TGCTGCCTTGGAAGTCACAGGCATGTTAGCTGGGCAACTTTGCCAGGTGGCAAAAGACCCCTGCCTACATTCACTCTACTCTTCCCCAACCTAGATTAGGTTGTTAAAACAATTAATCATTGTTTTCCTGCCTGCAGACAAGACTGGGTGGGAGGGAAGATGAACCTGAGAAATCCGCCAATCACATCTCTGAAAACTAAGAATAGTCACCAGCTTCATGCCTGTGGCAGAGTAGAATTTAGCAATTGCTTCAACCAATTTTATGAGGATTCTGCACATTCAGGTGTAGCTCCGTTCCAGTAAGCTAAATATTGCTTCTCTCTGAATTATTTCTTCTGGAGGTGGTCTATCCCTAAGTACCGTTTTTTTAGATGTTTTGCTGGTGCAAAGAGTGGGGGGGAAGCTCCTTCATGGGGTGTCAGCCTTGCAAAGTAGTCCAGATAAGAAGCACACCCAGAAGTACTAGTTCTATGTTTATTGCAAGGTTACATTAATAGAATCTTGCAAGTCTCAAAGTACATCTCTCCCCCTTCGCCTTTACAGTTCAAGAAAGTAGGGATGGCCCCTTCTGAGACATTTGCCATGTTCCCATTCCTTCTGTGGGCTCAGCTGCCTCTTATCTGGCCGTTGCCTAGTCTGTGACTCTTCCTCCTGTCCCCCAAGGTCATTCCCACATACCATTACATCTGGCCTTCTGCCTGTGCCCTATCTTCATTTCTCACCATGCTAAAACCAGTTCATTTCCCATAGTTGTAGGCTGTAAAGGTATGGATTAGACAGTAATTCCACACTTTCCTGAATTGGCCTGCAGTCCAATGCTTAAACCAAATCATTTATTTAATGCTGGCTGCCCATTGGCGAGATGGACAGCCTTATAAATCTAAATGAATCAATAAACACTTTCTCTGTTTATGATGTGTAACAGCTCAATATGCTAAAATGTTAGGTATGTCATCTAAAAAAAATTGAACAGTGCAGAAAGAGCTCCTATCAATCTCAGGCACAAAACCATAGGCCATCTACAGAAGAACTTTATTTATATTAAATTGCTACTTATAACATTGAAGATACATTTTGCAAGTTGCATATTCTGTCATCTTATAGGTCTTTGGGCTTATGCTCGTAGATCCCTCTTTTCCATAAATATCCAAAATGATTTGGAAAATTATAGCATTTTATTTGGAGTTTTAAAAAATGTCCACTATCTCTTCTGTTTATGGTTACCAGATGGCCAAACAGGCAAGGGAGGACAGAAACAATTGGAAAGGAGGAGAAATGGGTTGGGGGGGGGAGGAGGACACACTGTTTAATTGTCATGACAAAAATTACAGTGGAAAATTGCAACAAAAAAAAAAAAAAAAATTTCCAAAATAAAAAAGCCTGGTTTTTCAATCACAGTATTTTTCCAATATATCTTCATTTTCAAGAACATATGCTAATGATAATATAGAATCATCGACAATGCACTTTCCAAATTTCACCATAGAAATGTATGACAAGGCATGTGATCTACAGACTCCAGTGATCATAGATTTGAAGGGCTGGATTGAAGCCAATTGCAGGAATTAGGAAATAAGTTACGCAAATCTAGACTGTCGAGTCTGTTGAGGGACGAGGGAAAGAAAGAAGCAGACAATTTACAAGGTCACAATACACAAAAGTTTGAATGACTACTGTTGTGAAAACAGTCCCCCCCCAAACTCCCCCCCCCAAGTGTTGCCACTAATTTGTGCATCAACCCTTAATAGCATTTCTAGGACAGATGCCAAAGAACCAGAACACCAAGGGAGACTTCATGATGGCAACAAACTTTTAAAGAAAGTTTATTTAAAAAAAATTGTCCATGAATATACTTGATCTGCTGGGTGAATCCAAACGGCAAGGATGGTCTCCAGAATTCAACTCATGAAGAAGCTGTGTTTGCAGGGCAAATCTCATAGCCCGTCCCCCCTTCCCCCTTTCCCCCTCCCTTTGAAATGCTCACCCTGGGGCTGGGATGATTAGGAAGAAGGAAATTAATATTTTTATTTACATTCATTGGGGAGGAAAAGATTACAAGTGAGCGAACAGGCACACAATGGGGAATACACATTGAGAGGAATGTGCTAGTGCCAGCTGTTCACCTAGCATGCTGGGGCTGTTAGGAGGCAAAAGTCTTCAGTGTGTAACTGATTAAGGTCTTGTCAGTTTCAGGCAGCAGTCAGCTGGAAGGTACTAATTAGCTAATTAAGATTACAGAGCAGAGCTTGTTATCTTGTGGTTAACACTTATTAGAGAAGTGCTGTGCCTGGGAGAAAAGCTGCTCAGGAAGAGAAAGCTTGTTAGATACTCAAAATGTGGAGAATATTTGATTTTAAGGTGTAATGGCATGTGGGAATAAGCAGGGCAAAGAGATGCTGCCTAAGGAATGGTCAGATAAGAGAAAGCATAGCCTGCAGCTGGATAGTGGGCGAGGCAAGAGGCTCAGGAGGGACCCTCCCTAGTTTCTCAGGCTGTAAAGGAGATGGGAGGCGGGGGGAGAATTGTACCTTCAGACTTGCAAGATTCTGCCAATAGAGCTTTATTATAAAGTAGCATAAGCTCATCTGGTTGTGTTCCCTGTCTGGTCTATCTGGTAAGGCTGACATCAGACTATGCCTGCCGGACAGAGGACATGAGGACAAAAAAGGAGGGCACGTCCTCCTTTTGCTAGCCATCTGGTAGCCCTACTTCTGTTCAATGGTGTGAATTTGAAAAAGAGATGGCCAATTCATGTTGACTGTTGGGAGTGAATAAGGTTGTCTTGAGTGATCCAGATCCCAACTTGGACCTATTCATTTTGCTGGTAATGTTTTAGCAACACCTTAAAGCAAGACGAGGATTGTGTGATGCCAAAACTGGGTGAAAGATCTCGAATTTGTGATTTTTCTGGCCACAATAGCTGGAGGTTTTTCAGAATGCTGGTGAAGAAAAGGAACAGCACCATCGAGCCAGATTTTCTCCTAAAAGCAGACCCTTAGTCCTGAAAATTCAAAGAGGAGGAGAAAGGTAGTAGTTATCTAGCTAGCTCAGGGCTAACAGCCTTTTTCCACTGCTGGAGCTCTGTGACCCACCACAACGTTATTCCAGATTGCACAAGCTTTTCACAGTTTGTGAGATTACAGCAGATTCACAGTGAGCTCTCACACATTCTCACTGAGTGATCTCTCGCAAGAAAATCTTTGCGTGCCTGGTGATATCGTGAGACTTTGAATATTTTAATTTTTAAAAAAACGGATTAAATTTAATTTGGAGCAGTCTGCAGATATAATTATAAAGGCATGCACACTGTTGCATCCCTAGTTATGATCTTGGCAAGAGGGCTTTAGATAATGCTGAGTATTTCTTCAAATGTGGAACCAGGCTTAAATGCCCTCTTCCTTCCTCTTACCCCATTATTCCATGCTTAAAACCACATTGTTTACTAAACGTGAGTGGAAAATATGCTGAACAGGTAGTTTTGTTGTTTAAAATTACCAAAATGTAGGATTATCAGAGATTATTTCAGAACAAACCACATGCTATAATTTAAAAGTAAAATGCTAAAATGAGCATCAACAGGCCTGCATATACCTCGTTGGCTGTCTCTGAACTCTAAAATGCATTAAAAAAATTTTTTTTTTGGAAAGCTGAACAGAAGCAACAGCTGCAATGGGCCCCAATGTGCCCAGGCTGTTTGGTATGGCCGCATCTGGCATTCCCTGGATTATCATTTAGAGACTATGACTGTGTTCCCAAAGTTCAGCCGCAGCACTGGAAGTTGTTCCTAGTAAAATCTATATGCATCACAGAAGGGCGTTTTACTTATTGTTACCAGTGACCTCAAAGAAATCGTTCTGACTTACAATGGCTTTTATATACCAAAACGTTCATTTGAAGCATTACTCTCTCTAGTTTAAAATAATGTGGATATACATTATCTCTGAACCCGCAGAGGTACTCATTGCAACCATGTGAGTGTTATGAATAGTGATTCAGAACCTCTGTTTACCCAACATGTTTAGCTACAAATCTTACTTAGTGGCATGCATTGATTGATTGATTGATTGATCATGTGTCATCAAGTCATTTTTTACTAGTGATGACATAAGATAGATTTTCTCCATGATGATCTGTCACTAACCTGGTCTTTCAGGTCTTCCAACACTGCACCCATCACCACTGTAACTGAGTCCATCCACCTTGCTGCTGATCATCTTCTTCTCTTTACTTCTATCTTTCCCAGTGTTAGAGCCTTTTCCAGAGAGCTAGGTCTTTGCATAATGTGTCCAAAATTGGATAATTTGAGCCTGATCATTTGTGACATACATGGGGAATCATTTACCTTCCACTGAACACAGTCATTTAAGTGAGATTACTGGCTTATCCTCAAAAAGTAACCTTAGTCTTTTGCTATGGATTCCAAGGACACATTCACACTGAGAACCTAGCACAATGAATTAAGAGGCACCAGTGATGATCTTCCAAAAATGGCATGCTTATCCATGCTTAATCAGTTTCCTCAATCCAGTTTTCACATGATACACTGAATTATAAGTCAGGTACAGAAGCTGACTCCATGTAACACTCAAGGTAATTATGATTGGCTACATTGTGGTTCACAGTGTGTTCAAACATTGCCGCTAAAAACATACATCTACAAAAATAATTTATCTTCTGAAAATGGCAAAAAAGCTTCCAGCTTTACAAAGTCTCCTCTTATAGGAAGTTGGAGGGGTTGAACTCATTTGGGAACTTCCACTGAGATTCATCACAATGAATGGAATGGATATTGATAAGAACCACGGTGTCCTGCAATAGTCAAGACCACTAAGTCATGTAAAGTAAAACAGTGATGGAAGTGACCTTGAATTGGTTCAATTTAGCACTGATATAGACTCTTTTGAGATTTGGTTCAAGAACAGACTGCTCAGGGTGAAAAAAAATTAGAGAGGAATCATGAATCGAGTAAACCTGAATTCTGATTTGGACAAAGGAGAACTGAGATACCATGGGAGTAGATGTGGTCAACCCACCACTGTAATTTATCATCTATTATTTATCGGGAAAAAGTCAGATTAAACTGGATTACAAATCTGAGGGTTTATCCCTCAAAAGGACTCGAGCAATTCAGAAAAAGTTGATTTCTAGACTCAGGACAAAATATACAGTATATCACTTACATAACAACTTTATTTCTTCTAAACTATAGCTTGTAACATTGGAGATAAATTTGGCCAGTTGTATATATTGGAGATCATCTGATACAGCTCTTTATATATCCAAATGACTTGGCATAAGGTAGCACTTTATTTCTATTTCTAAAAAAGATCTTAAGTGGTGAAGTTGAAGTAGAAGTGGCTGCTGCATAGAGAGTTGGGGAGAATGAGGTTGTCCTGAATCGTGCACATCCTCTGATTTATTCACTTGGCTGGCGACATTTCAGTGACACCTTAAAGTGAGATGGGGTTTGTGTAACCCCTAAGTGTGGTGTAAAATCTGGTGCTTGTGATTTATCTGGCCACAGTAACTGGAAGTTTCTGAGAATGCTGGTGAAGAAGAGGAAGAGCTCCATCTGAGCCAGGTTTTCCCCTAAACAGACTCTTGGTCCTGAAAAGTCAAAGAGAAGAAGAGAGCAGCCATTCAACCAGCTGAGGGCTCCAACCCTTTTCAACTGCTGGATCCATTTGGTTGTCTACAAAATGATCCCAAATCTCACCAGATTTTCAAAGTTTGAAAAAGTTTTAGCAAACTCTCTTGTAGGAATGTTGAGATCCTAGGATATTTGAATCCTAAACAAATCCTTGTATTTGTTTGGATATTTGTATAAGTAGACTTGAATGTCTTCAATTAAAAAAAAAGTTTTCACTGAGTTAGAAGGGATCAGTAAACATCTTTTGATCATGGATACTGCAGCATCCAAAGGTATGGTCTGGGCAAGGGGGTATTTTAGGTAATCAGAAACAGATTAGCAAATTTATTAAAAGGAAGATGGTGTTTAGAGATGTAACTTGACAAACCAGACTCTGTGTCCTTTATTGCCCCATTTATCTGTACAGGTAGTCCTCGCTTCACAACCATTCATTAACCTCGCTTAACAACCATTATTTCTGTGTTACAGCCAAATTTGGATTTTTTTCCCTCCTCCCTCCTATTCCATGCTCCACTACTACATAAAGCCAGCTTGCTCACTGATCCTCCTTGAAACAAAATAGTCTAAACAGGTACAATTTTGATTTCTAAAATCATTCAATCCTATTCAGTAGATTTACTTGGGAATAAGCTTCATCTCCTACATTTTAAAAGTGAAAATATTACAATTTGCTGCTCTTGAACTTTAGAATACATTAAAATATTTTTAGGGAAAGCTGAAGAGCAGAATGCTATGCTATGGCCCCAGTCTGCCGTCACTTTCTGGACAGTCACTGGTAGTCTTGGATTTGTTCCACCACTAGAAGTTGTTGTAAAGTTGCTTGTAAAACCTCTAAGCACCCCACAAGGGAGACTTGCTTGTCTTCATTGATGATCTCACATTTGCTGACGAGCCATTGCTCTTATGAACCAAAGTGTGAATCTCTATTAATTTCTATATCTTAAACTAATTTTGGTTAACTAGGAGAAAAAATTGTGAACTAGGAGAAAAATTTCACTGAAAATATCATCACTGCCACTCAGAAATAAATCACAAGGTATGTTTCTGTAACATCCCTAGTCTGAGATCTTGTCTGGTTACCATACTGTTGGAATTCAGTTTTGTATGCACCAGGTTTCTACACCAACATATATCTACTGATCATTAAGAGCCACAGATACAAAGCAGAGGGACTCTACAACTTTTCTCCTTGTCTAAAAAACGTAATGTGCATGTTTCTACAAAACATGCTTCCTATTATTTAGACCAGTGTTTCTCAACCTTGGCAGCTTGAAGATGTGTGGCTGGGGAATTCTGGGATTTGAAGTCCACACATCTTCA